ATAGAAAGTCCGACGCACTCGTTAGAGCCATCATAACGTGTCGAATCTTTGAACGTCGCACATCGTCCGAACTAACTGACAATACTCTAAGATGTCTTTCCTAAGTGAGCATATTGAGTTGGATATAGAAACGTCGGTGTACGAAGAGCTGGAGAAAGAGTTGCACTCAGAAACTGAGTCAGAAAAAGAGGCAGTTGTGGAGAAGCCGTTGCAGTCAGAAACCAAGTCAGAAAAGGAAGCAGAGCTGAGAAAACTTCGCGAGCTCATCGAATACAGCTGTTCAAAACAGTATATAGATAGGAACCTCGGTTTCCCGACGGACCACCCAGATGATCGTTCGATCTGCGTAAGCAATGTTCATTACTCCGCAACAAAACAGGAGCTGGAAAAGCATTTTGAAGGCTGCGGAGCGTGCAAGCGTATTACGATAGTATGCGACCAAATTAGCAGACATCCTAAGGGTTATGCCTACATCGAATTCGCCGAGCGAGACTGTGTGAAGCTGGCTATTGCAAAAAACGGGTCATTTTTCCGGGGCCGAATTTTATCTGTAAAACCAAAACGTTTTCACCGACCTGGACGACAAATACCACCGTTTAAAAAGAATGTTTGGGTAGCTAGTCATAAAAAAATTGTAAGACCTCCATCGGCCTACAAATGGACTCGTCTACAAAAATAAAATTAACTGCTTTTATCAATAAATATTGATCTAAAGTTTATTTTCAAAACTCCTATCCAAATATAAAAGTAAAAGGTAAAAGAGCACGTGCGAGGGCAGTTTTAGAATGGTTCATGAATCATAACCTAGAAAGAGCGTTCGAGAACGAACATCTGCTACACTTATCTATAGAGAGTAGAAAGTAAATGACTTGGCATTCTCTTAAATGTGTCGTAAAATGAATTTCAAACCCATTTTTTTGATTAATAATAACTTATTACATAAGCTTTTAATTCGCTCTTTCGTATATTATACGTGTATATCATACGCTGCATCTCGAATCGCTCTCCGCGTATACGTATATTTGAGGAGTTATATTTGGTGGCATGCACGGATTGAAATTGCTATACTGCATTATACATTTTTTTTATTAATCGGATAGCTTCCATATTGCATGTTGGTGTTCAACCACTAGTTAAAAAATAACATGTACATATATAGAATTAATACTTTATTTCTATTTAACAATTAACTTTATTATGTGTTCACTGTATGGAAGCTCGAGACTCTCTGATCGCGAATACAATCAGAATATATTTTTAATAATCTGCCGTTGCTAAGCGATCGATGTTGGCGCGGCGGCGTTCGGTTGTCTCGCTACACTACCCCCCTGGGCAGTGTCCATGGAACCATCTTGAAAAAGAACTTGTTTGTCTTGAAAGCAACAAGTGATGTTGAAAATATGTGCAGGTTTAACACGGTCTACCGAAA